TCTTTCCCTTTTGGGTGCACTGCAAATACAAAGGAATTGGGAATGCTCCAAACCAGTCCCTGGCCTACAGTTGTACAAGCTGAATAATTTCCAATCAATCAATGAGTGCTCTTTTTTTTATGGCTATGGCTGAATCTAGGAAAACCAGAAGGCAAATGCCAACTCCTTTGGGTTTTCTACATCACCTTTACATGGCTGAACAGCAACGTTGATCCTTCTTTTTTTTTCAGACCTTGAACCAGTCAGTACCATACCTGCTGTTCTGATGACATTATCGATAACCTCCCTGGGGACTGGCTCATCACTGAGAAACCTGACAGACCGCCTCTTATTAAGAAGCTCATAGAACATCTGTGACCTTTTAATCATTTCAGCCTCAGAGTAGCGCTCTGCGAGGAAGGGGACATGGGCAACATTTTCATCAACTCCTTGCCACTCTTCATCAACCTCTGCAAGAAAATAAAAGTGGTTAGGGATTTTTTTACAGGAGAATGCTGTTTCTGTCTTTGGCATTCACCACTGCAACGCACTTTGGCCTGCATACCTTGCACTTCTACACGGCTGGAAAGGCAAAGTCTGAGGTTCCAGTTGACACAACTCATTGATCCCTAGCTCCAGCTACTAAATAAACACCTTGTTTAAATACCAAGAGACCAGAGGGTCCTGGCTGGCTGTAGTGAGTGTGATCCATGAAGAAGTTAAGGCCTTCTCCACTCGAGTTTGCCTCTAAAAGTCGTTTACAAGCTGAACCAGCAGTGAAAAGGCAGCCAACATTTCAGCCCACTTTTCTCAGTAAGTAAACGTGAACAAATGTGCTCCTTCCTGAGCAGTCTAATAAGAAAAAGAAAATCAATTAAGTTACTGAAGTTAAGGAGAGGGCTAAGCTCCCAAGGTGTGTAAAATCTCCTCAGAAGAGCTGACTGTCAGCTTCTTCTGTATTCATGTTTCATAGCAGAAGCATTACATCTCGGCTCTGCGCAAATGTGACTTTGTGGTTAAGTTCTTTGGTTTCATGATACTTTCAGCATAAGAGGAAATGGATGACAGGCATCTATACTTAGGATAACAATATATTAAATGTAGGATATTGTGTTTCTTGCCTTTAATTTAAGAACTCAAAACGGTTCCTCGTTTCACTGAAATCTGCCTCTTTGGGATTTTTTTATACCACAAAATACATCCTCTGTTGTCTCTCAGATCTCCTCTTTCTACCATGCATTCCTAGAATCAGCAAGAATAGCATTTTTTGCAGCTATGATGTGGAAGTTAAAGCCATTTAAATTTTGCATTTGACTAGTCAATAGTATTGAGCAATCTGCTACAGAGGGCTGAGTCCGGAAAAAATATTACAGTTCTTTTTCAGTCACCATTAAGCTTGTATTCTGGAAATATAGCAATCACCATGGCAAATTCAAACTGCAATTCTTTCTGTGTTTTAGTAGTATGCAGTTGCCTTAGAGACCAGGCTGATTCTTGGTTCATTTTATAAACAGCAGTGAAATATTCACAGGTGTGGCCCAGCATGTGCAAGAGGCTGCAATATATCCAGTTTCATGTGTTGCATCTAAACAGAATGATTCTGGTCCCCAAACAACATACATTTCAGTTTGCTTACAAAGAAGTCATCCAGAAAGCTTGTTTTGTTTAGCATTTCATGCCTGTGTTCAGCACTCTCAGTCACGGTCTGCAAGGACCTGGCTCCAGGGCAATAGGAAGCAGTAATCCATTGTAAAAATTATTTTTGTGAGCATCTTGCACACTCAAACTCAAAAAGGAAGAGGATGCCTCTTCCTAGTGTTCCCTTTCCCGTTTACACTTGGTACAGTCGGTTATTTACTATTCAACAGCAACCTGCTGACTAGGACTTTCCCCTGGCTACGATTCTGGTGATCTTCTCATTCAGAAACATTCGCACCCCCTTTTATGCTCCTCCTCCTCCACACTCACTGAAGGGAACACCATGGGGTGACAAAGGCTATGCTTACACTAGCAAGTAGTGTGGTGCAATAGGAGTGGATCTGTAGAGAGGAAAAGCTTCTGCTGGAGCCCCAGTGTTCAACATCCTCATGTTTTAGAGTGGTAGGGTAGCTGGGGAAACAGTTAAAGCTCTGCATCCTTCCCACCTCTTCTATGCTGTGCACAGTACCACAGGATGCCATCTTCAAGGACCACTATGTTAAACTGGTAAAAGTCAATATGTAACTGATGCTTGAAGATGCACAGGTAATGAAGTCATGGAAATTTTTTCAGGATGCCTATCTCTGCCTCTTGCATCTCTGCCTGGTGGCTTGGACGAAGGTGTAACCCTCAGCCAGGAGTAGGGCCCATGTAATCAGAGGCACAGTGACCTTAGTTCAGTTCTACTGAGACAATTGCTGTGAAGATGTGAAAAAGAACGTAAGCTAAATCCATACTAGATAAGAAAGAAAAAAAAAAGGTAAACGTAAAAAACCTTCCACAGATGGAAGTTGAGACAGTGATGACTGGCAGCCAAAGGATTTGAAAGATAAAGGGATGGCACAAAAAATTTGTAAAACTTTCAGGGAAAAAACAGGCAATTGGGAGATGGCAACTCAGCAACACCTTCCAACTTGAATGAGGGCTGTCTGGCCAGTAGAGAAATTCAGAAGGTGTCTCATTAGGACATGTTTATCTCTGCTCAGCCTAGTAGTTCAGTAAACATACCTCTCTAGGTGTATTAGCCAATACATAATCGGTTTGTAGTCTTAAATTGTATATATCCTTTATGCGGAGTTCCTTCACGTGCTATAAAAGTGACGCAGAGCAGGAGAGTTAGAGAGAGATAATGCTGTTCTCAAACCCATTGATATAGACAGGACAGAAAATCACGCATATAGGCAAATAACCTTTCCTGCAAGCTCATCTTGAGGGACTTCCAGACCTGGAAGCTGGATAGCCTCCTGCAACTGCCTTGATAGGTACGATAAAGCAAATTCTCCCCCTCCAAATCCACATTGTGTATAGCAGTACTGCTACTGTAACAAAGACATGCATTGCTGAACTGAGATTTACCAGTTACACAGAATGACACACAACTTGATTTTATCCCTAGGCACTCACATAAGAGGTGTCACTAAATGGGAGAAATATTTTCCTTATGATAACAAAAAGCTTCCTGAAATCTGCTGAGGTTGTGCATTGTCTATCAGAACGCAGAATTTGACCAGAAAATTATGCTGAAAGCAGGTATTGGATTAGTGTCTTGATGAAAATTTCAGGTCAGACTATAATGTTTGTGCTTACACCAATGTGCTGTAGTGATCATCCCTATCCTTTTCCCAAGCTTACAATGTTGAGTGTCCGGGGAAATAGAAATAAGACTATTTCTAGCCTAGAAACAGTCAAATAAAACTAACTCCAGGACCCAGGAGTTCAGATGTGCTTTCATTATTTACTTACTTACGAGGAGGTTCAGAAAGTAGGAAATAGCATACATTCAATCACAGAATCACAGAATGGTAGGGGTTGGAAGGGACCTCTGTGGGTCATCTAGTCCAACCCCCCTGCCA